AAAAAGAGAGTGAGCAGGGGAGGGGCAGAGGGAGAGAGAGAGAGAATCCCAAGCAGGTTCCGCACTGTCAGCACAGAGCCAATCTTGCGAACCCTTGAACTGAAACCAAGAGTCAGATGCTTCACCAATTGAGCCACCCAGGCTCCTCTCACATGGTTATTTTTCTCATGGAAAGAACTTCTAGAATCTACTCTCTTAGCAACGTTCAGATATAGAGCCCAGTGTCATAAACGATAGCCCTCACGTTACACATCTTATCCCCAGAACTGACTAATCTCGTAAGTGGAAATTTGTATCTTTTGACCCCTCGTGCCCATTCTACCCATCCCCCACTCTCCCCAGCAACCACCAATATATTTTTTTAATGTTCCATGTATGAGTGAGATCAGAGGGTATTTGTCTTTCTGTCTGACTTATGTCACTTAGCATCATGTCCCCAGTGCTGTGGCATATGGTGGGATCTCCTTCCTTCTTGTGGCTGAGTAGTCCTTCATTGTGCATATATATATACCACGTCATCTTTACCCATTCATCTGTGGATGGCCACGTAGGCTGTGTCCGTGTCCCTGCTCGTGTACATGATGCTACAGTGAACACAGGAAGCAGGTGTCTCTTCAACATGCTGTTGTCTTTTTCTTCGGATGAAATACCCAGAGGTGGGATCCCTGGGCCATATAGTAGTTGTGTCTTTAATCTTCTGAGGACCCTCCACACTGCTCCACAGTGGCCGCACCGTGTGCATTCTCACCAGCAGTGCCCAACGTTTTCCCTTCCTCCACGTTCCCGCCAACACCCGTTATTCCTTGTCATCTGGATTCAAGCCATTCCAACAGGTGTGCGGTGATACCTCATCATGGTTTTGATTGGCATTTCCTTGGCGATGAGTGATGGGAAGCATCTTTTCACACGCCTCTTAGCCTCTTAGCCGTCCGCGGGTCTCCTCTGGAGAAACGTCTATTCAGGTCCCTCCCGTTTTTTACTTGGGTTGTCTGTATTTTTGCTGCTGAGTGGAATGTCCTCATCTGTTTTGTTCTTGTTCAGGTTGTGCGAGGAACTCAGTTAAAGGTCCGTAAGAGTAGTTTGACCCGTCTTCACTTGATTTTCCTTTGACTTGGGAAGCCTGATCTAGTTCCAGTGAAATTCAGAACGTTAGCTACAACTCAAAACCACTTTCCAGTCCTGTCCTAAGGGAGAGGCCGCTGTGCGTCCGTGTCGTTCGTATGCGGCGGCCCGTGGCCTCGTCTCGTTACGGGGATGGAGAAGACGCTGTCAGAACAGGGAGAGGTGCACACGGTGGCCTTCCGAACGTGCACGGGAGTCCCGTTCTCCCCAGACTTCGGAATGGTCGCTGGGGATGGGAGACGCTTCGTCTCCACTCAGACACCTTCCCACGAGAGGCCTGTGGTTTGTGTAAACTCATGAAGGGATGTGTCTGTGTGTGGAATAGACTCTCTGGGTCGTCTGGAGTGAGACTTTGTGGCGGCGTGGCGGCGTGGCGCCGTTGACCACCTGAAACTCAGCGTATGCGTCCCTATTTCGCTTGTTTAGGAAAATGTGTCGCGAGTCGGCCTCCAGCTACAGATACTGACTTCGGGTTGTGTTAGGGATTGTGTGTCAGATGATCAAGAAACTGTGAAAACCACGACGTGGCACTTCCGTTGCCCAAGTCTACGGGGCACGGATCCCGCACCTGCATAACATTCCATCCCGGGTGCCAAACTTCCATGAGACCCTCGACCAGGGGAGCTGACTGCGCCCATTAGGCACCGGAACTGCAGCCGAGAATAACAAGGGTGACGGCGAGATCTGCCATCAGGAACTCGGACTTTTGAAAAGGTCAATCACCGTCGTGTTGCTTTTCAAAAATCTGACCTTTATTTGGGCCTTTCTGCTCCCTGGGCTACCTTGGTGTTTTTCTCACCGTCAGGTGCCCCTGGGGGTGTGTGGCTGCAGTCAAGGCACGCCGACACCAGGTGGCGCTCGTGACATTCTTACGGTCTTTGCCTTGCCTCACCCCTTCCACGGGGGGGGGGGAAGGGGGGGGCTGGCGAATTCCCTCAGTGTCCCCCATACTCAGTGTTGAGTTGTAATCAACAGGATCCCCCTGAGGGCATGGAGAGCGAGAGCTCTGCCCTTCTGTCTTTTCCTCCCACACGCATGCTTGCACACACATACACACGTGTGCCCAACTGCACGCTCACACACACGCACGCTGTCTTGTTATGAACACAGGAAGGGAGGGGAATTTTTAAAAGATAGATGGAGGTTATTACCAAGATGTTATCAAGATACACTTTACACAATTCACTGTTACTTTTGAACATTGAATGAAAATTCCATTTAGAATAAGATACAAAGGGAAAGTCTTCTTTCAATGAATAATTCTTGACTTGCACTAGTTTTACTTTTTTCTTGTTGCTGTTGTTTTTAAGAATTCCGTTTTTTATTTGCGCTTGGGTGACTCAGTCAGTTAAGTGTCTGACCTCGGCTCACGTCGTGGTCTCACGGTTTGTGAGTTTGAGCCCTGCATCGGGCTCTATGCTGACAGCTCGGAGCCTGGAGCCTGCTTTGGATTCTGTGTCTCCCTCTCTCTCTGCTTCTCTCTATATATATATCAAAAATAAAAATTAAAAAAATTTTTAAAAATAATTCTTTTTATAAAAGATGTTTATTTATTTAATTAAAAAATTTTTGAGTGTTTATTTCGTTTTGAGAGACAGAGAGAGAGTGCATGAGCAGGACAGGGGCAGAGAGAGAGGGAGACACAGAATTGGAAGCAGGCTCCAGGCTCTGAGCTGGCAGCACAGAGCCCGATGCGGGGCCTGAACCCATGAACCGTGGGATCATGACCTGAGCCGAAGTTGGATGCCTAATCAACTGAGCCACCCAGGTGCCACATAAAAATATTTATTTATTTTTGAGAGAGAGAGAGAGAGAGAGATGGAGGGTGGGTCAGAGAGAGAGGGAGAGAGAATCCCATGGAGGCTTCATGCTGTCATCACAGAACCCGATGTGGGGCTTGATCCCATGGCTCTGGGATCACGACCTGAGCCAAAATCAAGAAGCAGACACTCAACCGACCAAGATACCAGGTGTCCCTGTTTCTACTGTTTTTAATTTCATTCTCTACAAATAGCCTAGATGAATGTGTATCTTTATGAATGCGCTAGGTGAATGCTTAACTTGTCAGCCCTCCGTGCATTCCTCATCAGTGGGGGTAAGAGCACTGGTCTCACTGGGCTGGGCTGAGACTTAATTGAAGTAACACATCAGGCACTTGCCACACTGTACTAATTCCTCCTCCTCGTGCTTGGCTAATCTCAGGACCAGACATGGGGGCTTCTGTTGGGCACCCGATGTTCCTTCCGTTACGCATAACTGCAGTCACTGCCCACAACCCTTCCGTTACACGTCTTATTATTACCATTTATCATGAGAGGAAACTAAGCGTGGCCAAACACTGGCACAGTGTTGTTATTAATTGTTGGTTATTGTTATTACTGGTGGCGGTACTTGGAGAAGTCGTGGGGCTCACTGCTTTCCCTTCTTCCCTGCAATCAGCAGGGGATCCTCTTACAAATCAAAGTCCCCACCTCGGATCTAGTGAAATCTTGTGGCCCCTTATCGGGGCAGGACCTGGGTTTCTCTCAGTGGGATTCTTTCCCAAACTAATGAGCCACAAGCAGAGAGATGATGTGTCTCTCCCCTCCCGTGGGCACCTTGCTTGCCTCTCCTCTCTGGGACCCTCTCCCCGTCTTTTCTGCGGGCTGCAGGATCCCCAGAACACCCAGACACAGTCAGTACCTTTGTATTTACCCCTGTAAATAAGCAATCGGAGTCCGAGGGCCTGCTGTTTACAGAAACCACAAGCACGGTCACGCTAATGACTGCAAGCCATCACCCACCGGGCCTCAGCTGCTCGCTGAGGCCCCCCCCTGCTCCAGAGACAGTGCAGCCCACAGGCTGGGCACTGGGCCCCATGACTGCTGGCCTGACAGGTGCTGAGGAGCATCGCCCTTGAGCCCAGAGCCCCAGCCGTTCCTGTGGCCATGGCTGGTGCAAGGTGTTCATGCACCTGCTGATTTATGTTAGGGACGCCCCCTCCGGGGAACTCACCAAACCTCCAGCTGCCTCTCTAGGGCCCTCATTGCTGTCCCGGCTCAGACGCTTCTCACCTCTCCTGCTGGTTTGGGACCCAGCCCTTGGATCTGACCAGATCCTTGCTTCCAGCACGAACAAATAGGGGCCGCAAGCCGTTACCTAAGCAAGTTGCTCCCGGTGACGTGGGTCCCGGTGACGTGGCGTGCCCATGGAAACGCCACGTCCAGCGGGGATTCTTACACATGCTGTCTCACCCGTGCCAAATAAGCTGTGTCACGAGCTTCCCCACCCATCTCTGAACTTCCTCTTTTTTTACGTTTACGTATTTATTTTGAGAGAGAGAGTGAGAGCGAGAGCACAAGTAGTGGAGGGGAAGAGAGAGAGGGTGAGAGAGAATCCCAAACAGGGTCTGTGCTGTCAGCTCAGAGCCTGACATGATGCTCAAACCCACACAGGCTCTGAGATCATGACCCGAGCTGACATCAAGAGTTGGACGCTTAACCAACTGAGCCACCCAGGTGCCCATCTCTGAATTTCTGAGATGCCGGTGTCCAGCCACAAAATCCAGCTGCAGTGGGCATATGCCTGGCACCTCCTTTGCCCTGTCTGCCCCTTGCTTGGACTGGTTGCATCCTTGCCTGTAAATGCCCTGAGGCCCATGGTCCGGTTTCCCTCCCTTTGTATCCCACCAGCGGCCTTACAACCAGCCTGTGGAGAACCCGGTGGCCTTCCCGCCAGGCCAGTGACGGGGAAAAGCTGGGAAAAGCTCACAAAATGCGGCGTGTGTGGTGTCTGTTGTCGTAACGACCTCGCTGGGGACCTGAGGCCATAGGCCCAGGAGTGTGCTGTGGAAATGGGTATGAAATAATACGGAGGTCTTTTTTTCAATTTTCGAAAAGGTGTTCCTGACACTTTTGCAAGGTTCCACGAAGCAATCAGACGTTGCTCCGGAAGCGGGTTTGGAGTGGCAGGACCACAGGCCTCCAGAGAATTGTAAGTACACGGCACCTGGCGGCATTTCTGCTGTGGGGACAACATCAGCATCCTTTGCTCAGGACTGCTGGCGGAAAAGTGCAACACGAGGGGCCTGAGCACAGCCAGGTCGGTAACTGGGGAGACAGGGGCGGTAAGGCTGAAGGCTTTGTCCTGATTCGAATAAAGCAAGCGTGTGTTTAGGGAGCAACTTTATCTCTCCTTCAGTGCCTTCGTTTGTGAACCCGGAGTAAGGGGAACCGTTCATCTGGTCTCCCTTGCATCGCGCACAAGGGGACACAGCCTGCATTCCGCGCGGGCCTGTGATGCGGGCACCTTGCCCGGAGTCTCCAGATGGGAGCTCTGCTTGCTCGGGCCTCTATCCCTGCGGGACCTCAGTGTCGACCCAGGCGTCAAGTGCAGACGTCCGCGCACGCGAAGGCACAGGATTCCGGTGGAATCCAAGTGCGGTTTCCGGGGGTGTGGCTGTCCCTACCTGTTTAAGAGCAACCAAGCACCGCAGGGTGCTGGGCTGGACCCTGGAGGCCGGTGGGCAGGCAGGCAGGGGAACGGAGTGCCATTTGTCTTCTTCCTGCAGATCAGGTATAGCGATGCGCAAAAAAATTAAAAAAATAAAAAAATAAGACCCGTTTAGGGGCACCTGGGTGCCTCAGTCGCTTAAGTGCCTGACTCTTGGTTTCATCTCAGGTCGCGATGTCATCGTTCATGAGTGCAAGCCCGGCGTGAGGTTCTGTGCTGACAGCATGGAGCGTGCTTGGGATTCTCTCTCTTCCTCTCTCTCTCTGCTCCTCCCCTGCTCGCGTGCACGGTCTCGCTCTCTCAAAATAAATATATATTTTAAAAAGTACCTGTTTTAGGCATTGTAATTGGCTTGTGGTGGTTTCTCATAGTGATTTTAATTTGTTTCTCCCTAATGATTCTTTAGGTTGGGCGTATTTGATATAAGCAATTGTGCTGAGATACAGTTCACATATCACACAATTTGCCCACTTGAACCATAGCATTTGGTGGCTTTTAGTGTATTCGGAGGTGGGCATCCAACCTCCCGTCGGCTGTGGAACAGTTTCCGTTATCCCGAAAAGAAAACGTGCCTCGACTTAGCTCTTCCTCCTGTTGCCCCGGTAACCTGTTACCTGTCGTCCATTTCTGTACATGTGTCTACTTTGGGCATTTCATATGAACGTAATCATGTCACATGTGGTCCTTATTGACTGGCTTTTTCTTTTGTTTAAGTTCATTTATTTATTTGAGAGAGAGAGTGCGAGTGAGTGAGCAGGCGACTGGCAGAGAGAGAAGGCGAGAGAGAGATTCCCATGCAGGCTCTGCACTGTCCACGGAGTGCTGGACTCGGGGCTTGAACTCATGAACCATGAGACTGTCACCTGAGCTGAAATCAAGAGTCCGATGCTTAACCGACTGAGCCCCCCAGGTGCCCGTTGACTGGCTCTTTCGCTTAGCATCCTGTTCCCAACAAGGGTCATCCATGTTGTAATGTGTGTCAATCCCTCATTTTCTATGATGGTCGAATACTCTTTCTCTGTATGGATATACCACATTTTGTCCATTAGTGGTTGGTCATTTGGGTTGTTTCCCATGTTTGGCTCTAATGAATATGCCGTCACGAACATTTGTGAGCAAGTTTCTTACAGGCATGTATTTTCTCTTGAGTACGTGCCTAGGAGTGGAATTGCTGGATTGCATGTTTAGCTGTATGAGGGACAGACCACCACATCATTACCCAAAGTGGCTACACTTTCCACATTCCCCCTGGCAGTAGAGGGGGTTCCGGTTTCTCCTGCGTGCCCACCGGCACTTATGACTGCCTATGATATGGACCTCAGACAACTCAGGGGGTACAGGGCGCTCCCTCTTTGTGGTTTTGGTTTGTGTGCTCCTGGTGGCTGACACGTGGAGTATCTCTTTGTCAGCTTATTGAGTGTTTGCACATTGTTTTGGAGAAATGTCTGTTCAGATCTTTGGCCATTTTAAAAACTGGGCTATTATTATTTCTGGAGCTGTAAGAGTCTTTCATTATGGAATCGGGAGAAGTGGAATGTGGGAAGTGGGATGAAAAACCATGGATTTTTCATAGACACTTTTTATGCAGTCACGGAAGTTTCTATTTCTTTCGGTTTGATGAGAGGTATTTGTTATGAAGGGGTGGGGGAATATTGCCAAATGCTTTTTTCTGCATGAGTTGGGAAGTATTTCCTCTTCTTGTATTTTTTTGGAGGTATTAGTGAAGAATTCATTCTTTAATATATACCTGGTTGAACTCATCAATGAAGTTATCTGGGCCTGAATTTTCTTTGCAGGTAGTTTTTAAAGAAATTAATATTTCAGTTTCTTTATGTGTTATCATCTATTCAGATTATTTCTTTCTTCCTGAGTCCATTTCGATGTTTTGCATCTTCTGATGCACACGTCTGTTTCATGTGAGTTGCCTGATTTATTGGTGTCCAGCTGTCTGTAGCATCCATCCACCATCCCTTTCATTTAGATGGAGTTGGTAGTAACCAGAATCTTTCATTTCTGAGTCTAAAAATGTACATCTCCTCTCTTCTTTTTGGGGGGGGGTTAATTTAGCTAACGTGTTGTCAATTTTGTTAATCTTCTCATGGAATCTGCTTTTATTTTCAGTGATACTCTATTGATTCTCCATTTCCTATTTTATGAGGTTCAGCTCTGATTTTTATTCTTTCATTCCTTTGACTTGCATTAGATTTGGTTTGTTCTTTTTCTCTTGATTTGAGATCTTTCTTGTATATCAGCATTTACAGCTGTGAATGCTGCTTTGCACCCTGCCTCTGTGGGTCCCATAGTCTGGGAGTCTCGTATCTTCACTTTTGTTTATGTACAAGTATTTACTAACTTTTCCTCTGGCTTCTTCTTTGGCTCATTAACTGTTTAAGATGATGCTTTTTATTTTGTTTTTATTTTTTTGATTATTATTTTAAAAATACATAAGGAATTGCTGTGCCCAGTATGGGGCTTGAACTCACGACCCTGAGATCAAGAGTCGCATGGTCTTTCTTCCAACTCAGCCAGCCAGGTGACCCCACAAATATGTTTTTAGATTTCCACATATTTGTGAGTTTCACAAATTTCTTTTGGTTATTACAGTCCAATACTATCCTATTGTGACCAGAGGGAAACGTTTTGTACGATTTTACACCTTTGTAACTTACGAAGGCTCGTTTATGGCTAGAATACGGTCCACCCTCAGAGTGTACACTACCTCTTGAGAAGAGTGTGTACCTCTCATGATGGGTGGTGTGTTCTGTAGATGACTCTTCTGTCTGTCTGTCTACACGGCTGTTCGAGGGTGTATTTCCTCCTTGATAGTCTGGTAGCTCATTTTATCCAGTAGTGAACTTTGCATGTTGCTGTTTGCAGCTCATTTCCGGATTGTCTGTTCCTCCCATGGCTTCTGTCAGATTTTGTTTCACGTGTTTCAGAGCTCTGTAGTTGCATAAATACTTTCTGTCTCTTCCGGGCCCTTTCCATTGGTGCTGATGCTGTATCCGATGAGCTGCTTTCTCAAGAACATTGTGGAACTTTTTTGGATTCCAGTGGTAGTCCTCATCAGACCAAATCCAGACCTTTTTCTGAGACAATTTCTTCTCTATTTTTGGTCCTGCAGAGATGGTTGGGGGCAGAGGGGCCCACATCACGAAGTTTCCTTGAAGCCCTCTGGTTTGGTTGAGCAGATCTCTGAGACACATTCATCACTTTACTTTTTATCTTTTTCATCTAAAGAGTTTACTAGCGGAAAAGAACACCAAATGATTGATCCATGTAGTGAATTGTAATATTCATTCATTCATTCATTCATTCATCCGTGGGGGTAAAATAGACTTCATACAAATTTTACCATTTTCAAGTGTCCAGTTCTATGGCATCAAGTACATTTACATTCTTTTGCAGCCATGACCACATCCATCTCCAGAGCTCTCTCACCTCCTCCACCTGAAAGTGTATGCAGTAATCCCTAGCTCCCCCCTTCCCTGCCCCTGGCAAACACCCTTCCACTTTCAGTCTGTATGAAAGTCACTGTTCTAGAGATGTCTTGTAAGGGGAAGCTTATGCTGTTTGCTCTCTGGTCATTGGCGTGTCTCAGTTATCATAATGGCTTTAAGCTTCACCCACCATGAATCCTGTGCCCAAATTTGCAGGATGTGTGAGTCATGTGGGAGGGGCTCTGGAGTTCCCAGGCCTCTCCATCTCCGTTCTCCCTGACTCCCAAGTGCTCACCCACATGGGAGCTCTCCAAACCCCATCCTTTTGGGGTTTTATGGCGGTTGATCGATTCAGTCATTGGCTGCTGGCCAGGAAGGGGTCAGGGGAGGTTGGAAGTTCCAACCCTGTAGTTATGTGGTGGGCTCCCTGGCCCTCAGAAGAGTCCCAAAGGTCACCTCATTAAGGTCATTGACATAACAACAGATGCCCTTGTTGCTGTCATCACTTAGGAAAATCCAGAGGTCTGCAAGAAAGAGATAAAGAGCAAATGCACGTTTCTTATTTAAGACAGAGAGACAGAGGTCGAGCAGGGGAGGGGCAGAGAGAGGGAGACACAGAATCCCAAGCAGGCTCCAGGCTCTGAGCTGTCAGCACAGAGCCCGATGCGGGGCTCGAACTCACAAGTTGTGAGATATGACCTGAGCTGAAGTCAGATGCTTAACCGACTGAGCCCCCCAGGCGCCCCTTATTATAAGTCACAGTATCACAAGACCACAAACTCTTAACATGGCTCTCCTCCAAGCCCATTGGGCTTTTCAGCAAAATTCAGTTCTGTGTGGTTATGGGACTGACATCCACATGGGTTGGGCTTGCTCTCAGCTCCTGGAAGTCATTCTAGAATTTTAGCCACATAGTCCCCTCCCAACAGAACCTGTTTCTTCTTCAAAGTGAGCAGGAGAATCTCTGTTTTGATTCACTGAAAGGCAACTGAGTAGCGACTAGATCTGCCAAAGCTCATCACCTCTTCTGTACGTATCACGTACGTGTAGGAGCGGCAGCCCTGTGTTCCAGGTCTTACCCACACTCAGGAGGAAGTGCTTAGAAACTTCCATGAAGTAGGAGTGATTGCGGGGCTGTTGTAGACCTCTCCCTGCCAAACCATTATTACAATATGCCAAATTGAATTCCCCTTCGGGCTTATTAGCCATTTGAATTTCCTCTCTTACCACACAGTTGTTGCTTTCCTTTGCCCATGAATGATATATGTTTGAAGGATAGTGTCTTAAATTTGCTTTACTAACAGCAGCTGCTTTTATTTTATCACAAATGGCATATTTCTTTTTTGACAGAGAGAGAGAGTGAGAGAGAGAGAGCGCACAAGCAGGGAAGGGGCAGAGGGAAAGAGAGAGAATCCTAAGCAGGCTCCAAGATCAGTGCAGAGCCCAACGTAGGACTCGATCCTACAACCCTGGGATCATGACCTCAGCCAAAATCAGGAATCAGACACTCAAGTGACTGAGCTACCCAGGCGCCCCACAAATGGTATATTTCTTGATCACACAGTCAGATGAGTTTTTATCGGGTGTCACCACCACTCAGGTCCAGATAGAACATCCCCAGCACCTTGCCGGGCCCCTCTGCTCTCTCCAAGTCAGACCCCCCTCCCCCCCGCCCAAGGTGATGCCCTCACCTTACAGTAATTGTGCGTGTTGTTGGGCTTCATATAAATGGGGTCATCGTGTATGCACGGAGTCTGTGTTTTTTCTCTGTATTTTGCCTCTTTGATCCATTTATGTTTCCCCTTGTGTCATTTCTACGCAGTAATATTCTACTGCGTATATCATACTTTGTCTTTCTTTTACTGTGTATACATAAATTTTATTTTAACTTGGCATACACATTATTTTATCTTTTTATTATTAGCATTTTACCTAAAGGCTTCATTTCTGAGCATTCATTTATTTTAAGGTGCATTAGTTAATGACTTTTTTATGTAAGAGCAAATTCAAAGAAAACATGATTATGTTCTCATAAACATTTTGTCATCCTTGAGAACTGAGGGTAATTTACAGTGAAAAGGTTTCGCCCGCATACATCCTCTTTGTAATGGTGATGCATCCGTTTTGAAAAAAATCATTTCGTGATTCCGAATTTGGGGGACATTATGAAAATCCATCCAAATATGTTAGAAATAAAACATGCAAAAAAAAAAAAAGCTAACGTTATGTGAAAAAGAGCGGTGTTTTAATTTAAAAAAGAACCCTGAGGAAGGACACGTTATAGTGTTTTCTATTACTTTTGTAAAATATGACGTAAAAATGCAATCCTATTTATCATTCAAATGACAAATTATGGAACTGGAAAAAACATCATTAAAATACCTATTTAAGTATTTCGTTACTTAGAACAAAACGGGGGACCCTGACACATCAAGACAAATTTGGTAGGGGGCGCCTGGGTGGCTTAGTCGGTTAAGCGTCCGACTTTCGCTTAGGTCATGATCTCGCGGTTCGTGGGTTCGAGCCCCGCGTCGGGCTCTGTGCTGACTGCCAGCTCAGAGCCTGGAGCCTGTTTCAGTCTGTGACTCCCTCTCTCTCTGACCCTCCCCTGCTCACACTGTCTCTCTCTCTCTCTCTGTCCTAGAAATAAATAAAACAGTAAAAAAAAATTTGGTATGACATCGCCCGCTTTTCCCAGTCCTACTGGGTTCTGCAAATCCTCCAACAAAGCTTAACAGGACACATCTCCCTTAGGGAAATGTATATTACTTAGCAGATATAACTTTATCAAAGTGCTAAATCAGGGTTTTGGGGAGAGGGTGAGAAACCGTCTTCAGGGTAAAGTGCTCAGTCGCTTTTTGGAGACGGGGGAGCGTGATCCACACCAGAGAAAAGTAATTTTGGGAATAATCACTCACCAAAACCTTTCCCTTTCTTTCCATGCCCTCAGAAATTACTTTTTTGTTCCAATTCCTGCTCCCGGCCACCCCTGCCCGCAGGCACCCCTTACCTCTACACTTGCCATATATCTTCAGGAAGTCTTGTAAGGGGGCTCACTCTCAAATAACTCACTTCCTGCTCCTCTGAGAGATGAAGGCAAAATAATATATAAAATATGTATTTTTTTTAAGGATTGGGAGCCTAGTGGCACCAGAGAAATGAGTTATGGAGACCCGTGCCTGGAGGGGCATATCTGTTCCTGCCACGTAAGGTGTGCAAGTCACTCCTTCATGGAGCCCAGGGGCATCGATTAGCTGTCTGCAGCGTATCAGAAACTAGAAGAGGCGTTCTCTGTGCATTTTCTTCCTTAATCCTCCTGGACTTTTTGGAAATAGACTTTCTTGCCACCATTATTTGGATGTAGAAACTGAGCCATAGAGAAGTTGCCTGATTTGCCCAAACCCTAGTGGGTTTAACGCAAAACTCCCACCCAGGTCTGGTGGTGGCTGCTGTAGTCTCTTTGGATCAAAGAAAATAAAATCTTCAGATCCGTCCTTTTTCTGCAAAGGCTTTTCCAAGTCCCGAGACTGCTGTGTGTTACAACATTTGAAAGACACGTGGGTGTAACTGGATTCACTCCTTGACTTTCCAGAAGAGGTAGTGATCCCACACCGTCATGATGACCTGTGGAGTTTGTTAGAACACAGAGTCCTGAGCCTCACCCCCTGGTTTCCCGATTCTCTGGTTCCTGGGTGGGGCCTGAGAACTTGCATTTCTCATTAGCTCCCCGGTGGTACCGTGGGTCCAGGCGACACCCCGGACGTCCACCGCTTCGGGGTGATTCCTGAAGCAGGATTCTGTCTAGAACCACAAATTCTGGGTCTGTTCTTTTTCTGCTGATTTCCAGTGTTCTAAAATGAATTCTGTCCCCCGCTCCCAAAATTTGTATGTTGAACCCCTAGGACCTCCGCGCGTGACTGTATTTGCAGATACAGGATCTTTGGAAGGGGAATTAGGGGAACAGTGAGGGGTACAAGTGGGTCCTCACCCAGTCTGACTGGTGTCCTTGTGAGAATGGGTGATTGGGCAGAGACAGCAGTGCCCACAGAAGGGAGACCCTGGGGGGGGGAGCCAGAAGAAGGGGGTCGTCTGCCAGCCAAGGGAGAGGCCTCAGAGGACACCAACCCTGCGGGCACCTGACTGCGGTCATTCTCTTCCTTCATTCATCTGTTGATGGACTTTGGGCTGGTGTGAACAGTGTGTGTCTCCCCGGGGAATCCCAGCATTGCATGGGATCTCCCCGAGATCCCGATTTCCCTTTATGTGCATATATGCCCAGAAGTGGGGTTTGTGGATCACAGGGTAGTTCTGGTTTTGGTTTTTGAGGAGCCTCCGTACTGTCCTCCACAGCGGCCGCTGTTTGCATTCCCACGTGCACAGCGCGAAGGGCTCTGGTTTCTCCTTGTCCCAGCACAAGCCTCTGCACGGCAAAGGGATTGGTTGAATGAAAAGGAACCCCACCGGCTGGGAAGAACATATTTGCAGCCCATAGATCCGATAAGGCATTGATATCCGCAATGTGTAAGGAATTCCTGTAACCCCTATAGCTCAGTAGCTAAAAAGACAAGTGACCCGATTAAAAAATGGGCAAGGTAGAGGCGTCTGGGGGGACTCAGTCAGTTGAGCATCCAGCTCTTGATTTCAGCTCAGGTCGTGGTCTTTGAAGTTTGTGGGATCGAGTCCCGCTTTGGGCTCTGTGCTGGCAGCCTGGAGCCTGATTAGGACTCTCTCTCTCTCTCTCTCTCTCTCTCTCTCTCTCTCTCTCTCAAAATAAATAAGCATTTAAAGAAAACGGGCAAAGCACTTGAACAGACATTTTTCCAGAGATGGACAGCAGGCGCATGAAAGACGCTCACTGTTCCTCGTTGTCAGGGGACGTGGAGCAGAAGCACAGTGAGACGTCACTGAACCCCTGTTAGAATGGCTGCCATAAAGGGGGGGGGGACTTGGATGGTTATTAAACGGGCAGATTCTTAGGCCCAGCTTCCATAAAGCTTAGTGCTGAGACGTTTACAGGTTTTAACAAGCAGCCCAGTTTCCTTTGATTCTGGTGGACTGTGGCCACCACTATGAGAAACACCCAATTAGTAGTCTCATCAAGGTCAAAGTTCAAGTGAACAGTCAGGTCCCATATCTGTCTGGTACAGAGTGAGCCTGGGAAACAGGTGTTTTCTTCTTGTAACCCTCCCTCCTTTCCTCCTCCCTTCCCTCCTCCCTTCTCTCCTCCTTTCCCCCCTCCCTCCCTCCTTCCCTACCCAAGCCTCACCCCCCTACCTCATGTCTGAGGGTGCAGTGAGATTCCCAGCTGTAGGGAGTCAGTCCCACGTTACCTGAAACCTTCCCCTTTCCCTCCCACCAGCGAACCCTCTGTATTTCATTCCTAATTGCTGCTCCTAGTGATGATGGAAAGCGGTGTGGCAGTGATTAATCTGAAGGGTCTGCAGCCTATCCTTTGCCGTTTGAGACAATCCTGTTTGAACAGCCTCTCCTGTGCGGGGAGCCTGTAATTCTCAGCCTCTTCAAAGAGCTGTTCCAAATTCTGCCTGCGTCTCGTCCGCCGAACTGCGGTGCTCAGCCCGGAGCGCCGTCTTCTCTGCTTTGTCCACATCACCTCCAGCTTCAAGCACCGCATCCCCGGCCATCCAGCCCGAGGCAGGGGACGGGGGGACTTGCCCACTGCCAATTACACATGCCAGAGAAGGTTGGTTTGCCGAGATCGCAGAGAGCTGCCTGCGGGGGGCTGTGCGGAAGAAAGTGTGCCAAGATAAAGACAGAACTGAAATAGACTCGGCGGAGAAACGCCGGCGGCAGGTGCCAGGGAGCAGCTGCTCCTGAGGGGGGCGCGAAGGGCTGGGGGAGCGTGTGAGGCCGCGAGACTCTCGGGCAGAGCTGCCCAAGGAGCCCCCGAGGCTGGGGAGGAGGAGCCGCGCCCACCCTCGCCCCTGACCCGGACTCGCCCCTTCTCGTGACATGTTTGACAAAGGAGGTGCCTCGCCCGTCTTAAGTGTGCCCCTCGCTGCCAAGATCATTGTGGGCAACTGGGGAAACTGAGGCAAGAATGGCTCTGGGCAGCCTTTAGGAACATGTCTATTGTAGGGGTCCAGGGTTGAATGTTTTATTATATGTATTTATTTAAATTTTTAAAATTAATACTTAATTAAATTTTTAAAATTAATTAAAAAATTTAAGTTAAATGAATTAATTTTATTTTATTATTTTGATGGGGGAGGGAGAGGCAGAGAGAGAGACACACAGAATCTAAAGCAGGCTCCGGGATCTGAGCTGTCAGCACAGAGCCGGGTGCAGGGCTCGAACCCACAAACTGTGAGATCATGACCTGAGCCAAAGTCAGATGTTTAACCAGCTGAGCCACCCAGGCTCTTTCTTGCTTACGCTCCAAGGGCAAATCACAGAGTGAGAGACACAATGTCCTTGGCCTGAGATGGCTGGTGGATGGGGTCCTCCAGGCAAACTTGGCCAGGTGGAGTGTGGGAAGGGACAGGAAGGGATTAGAGAGGGTGGTGGTGTGGCTTCAGAGCAGGGCGGGCGGGTCCAGGGAGGGAGGGAAGTCACAGCCCGGTGACCAGTAGATGCAGGCGCTGAATGCAACATTTGGTCACATCCACCCGCTCCCCCATTCATCGGACATGTCTGTGCGCCTTCTGAGTGCCGGCGAACATGCTCAGATCTGGGCTTTGCCAGATGAATTGAGTTCGGCATGAAGAAGACAGAACAGCGAGGGTGCTGAGCACAGGGCCGCCGTCTAAGAGTCAGCAGTGGGGAGTTCTCCTCTCGGACTACATGGATAGACCCTTGCTGTGTGCCACACGCCAGCTCCAGGGCCCTGGGTGCATGTTGTCACTAACTGTTCATAAAGGTGCCCCTTCGAGTCAACCTTCAGAGGTAAACCTGCCTGACAGCGGAGCTCAGACGCCCGCCTGCTGTCCAGCCTGCCTCCAGGTGTGATGCGGGCGGAGCTGCATGATGGCCAAGTAGCCATCGTTCCATTGCCCGGCGTCCAGGAGAGCTTTGGGTGCAGTGTGGGTTTGAAAATCCCAGGGTGGAGCTGTTTAGAGGCTTCAGGAGGGGCATTGGAAACAAAAAACCCAGACCCCGCACTTAGGTGAGCTGCCCACAGAGTATAAATTCCCTGAACATTGTCCCTGCCTCCTCAAGGCAGGTTGAATCTCCTCCAAGGAGCTGGGGCCACCCTTATTCCAGAAAAAGACATGGCTGGGTGTGACGCCCAGCCCTCTTCCAAAGTGAAATTCTTCTTTGATGCTTTTCCTATTTTGGCCGTTCATCACTGTGCTTTTATTTTTTATTTTTTTTTTATTAAAAAATTTTTTAATGTTAATTTACTTTTGAGACACACACACACACACACACACACCCCTCCCCCCGCACACACTTTGTGTGTGCGGGGGGAGGGGCAGAGAGAGAGGGAGACACAGAATCTGAAGCAGGCTCCAGGCTCCCAGCTGTCAGCACAGAGCCCGATGTGGGGCTTGAACCCATGAACCGTGAGATCATGACCTGAGCCAATGTGGAGCGCTTAACTGACTGAGCCTCCCAGGTGCCTCAATCACTGTGCTTTTTAAAGGATAAAAAAAGCAGGGCGCCTGGGTGGCTCAGTTGGTTGAGCGTCTGACTCTTGATTGTGGCTCAGGTCATGATCGGGGTAGTGAGATTGAGCCTCAGGTTGGGCTCTGCACTGAACATGGAGCCGGCTTGGGATTCTCTCCCTCCCTCCCTCTGCCCCTCCCCACTCACGTGCACGTAAGCACTCTCTCTCTAAAAGAAAATAACAGAAAAAGTGATTCCTCACCTGTTTAGCAATTGGAAGCTTTGGAGATGTGACACAGAAAATTCCTCTTCTACTTAGATCTCCTTTTTCTTTTTTTAAAGTAAAAATTCTGTATGAGAGTGTCAGGTGGGCTCAGTCCATGAAATGTATGACTGACTCTTGATCTCTGGGTCATGAGTTCGAGCCGCAAGTTGGGTGTAGAACTTACTTAACAACAAAAGAGTCTTAAAAAATAAAAGTAATGTGTGAAAAAGACTAATGTGGTTGTTGTAAGAGATGAGCAGATAAAACATTATGCAAGTCGAGTAAAATATCACTGTGAAATTATTTTCAGAAGCCAGTTTAGATAAATATAGCCTCTCCTTGTTAGCTTTTTAAGCAATTAAACATAATTAAAATTTCTTTCTTTTTGAAAGAATATTCCATCAGGGCGCCTGGGTAGCTCAGTCAGTTGAGCGTCCGACTTCGCCTCAGGCCAGGATCTCATGGTTCATGAGTTCGAACCCCATATCAGGCTCTGTGCTGACAGCGCAGAGCCTGGAGCCTGCAGCCTGCTTCAGATTCTGTGTCTCCCTCTCTCTCTGCCCCTTTCCTGCGCACACTTTGTCTCTCTCTTTCAAAAATAAATAAACATTAAAAAAATTTTTTTAAAAGAAGAAAAGAATGAAAGAATATTCCACCAAGATTGCAGTAATGTAGTTTGGTTTTAAAGTTTGTATATTTTTTGTATCACCATGTTTATTATTTAAGAAATACTCGTATTTCGGATTTTGTGTCATATTATTAAGCATACAGCCGTCACAAACTGTCTTCTTTTCTCTTATTTTTCTTTTTGTTCTTTTTTCTGTTTCTTCCTTTTCTGCCCCCCTCGCCCCATCTGCTCCCCCACCTCTTAACAAGAGGACGTTCTGTCTGGTTGGTTTTCTTCAACAATTGGTATGAATGAGGCAAATCATGAGTCATATGAAAGTCGTACAATGCTAGCTTGTACCAGGATAAAGATGGAGGAATAGCCCGTCCAAGCCTTTTGTTTTACAGGTGAGAAGCCAAGAGGCCACCGTGGCCAGTCTGAGGTGTTCGAGGTCTTCATGGCGAGTCAGGGCTGGGACCTCCCAGTGCTTCCTGGTGGTCTTTCCCAGAGATGTTTCTGGTGTTGACACCCATCTACCTGTTTACAGGCTTTCCTTGTTTTATTGTGATTCATGTTATTATGGTCTGCAAATTCTGCCCTTTTTATTTTTTAAATGTTCCATTTACTTTGAGAGAATGCACACGGGAGAAGGGCAGAGAGAGAGAGAGAGAGAGGGAGGGAGAGAGAGAGAGAGGGGGAGGGAGAGAGAGAGAGAGAAGGAGGGAGGGGAGAGAGAGAGAGAGAGAGAGAGAGAGAACCCCAAGTAGATAGCACAGAATCTGATACGGGGCTTGAGCTTGCAAACCATGAGATTGTGACCTGAGCAGAAGTCGGACACTCAACAAACTGAGCCACCCAGGTGCCCCTGTAGATTTTTAAATGAACTACATATTCATACCTGCTATGAATTTTTTGTTTGGGGCATTCATTTTTTATTTTTTTATTTATTTATTTTTTTTACAAATAGTTTATTGTCAAATTAGTTTCTACATAACACTCAGTGCTCATCCCCAAAGTGCCCTCCTCCAGGGGGCATTCATTTTTTAAAAATCGACGTGAAGGCATTACATTTGTGATGGTTTATTTTAAAAGCTTCAAGAACATTTGGATGAATTTAGCAGTGTGGAAATCATATTCTGGAGTCCATGCTGAGTCCTTGATGTTTTAAGGTATTCACTAGGTTTGAACAACTGAAGCCACTTGACTCTCCCCAGCCCCCAAAAATTTCTCTGGACATTTTTTTCTAAGTAATTTGGAGGTCACTGTAAATGGGAATGCCTAATTATGGACGCCCCTGGATACTTTGAATAGAATTACACTCATAAGTCAGATAAGACAATTCATAACAATTTGGTCCAGCATTTTAATTTTGTCTGTTAAATTATTCATGTGAATGCTTTTATGAGTTTAGCCATAAATATTTGATTGGTGGTTGAATCATGACGATAAATTATCTTAGCCCTTTATTTCCCCCATTTATGTTCAGTTAGCACATGGGCAGGTGGGAGAGAATTTATTTTTATTAATAATGAGAAACGCCTTTCCCCACAGACTTATTGAACTTGTCTGATGAACACTTACAATGGCTGGCAGTTGACATTGTACCTGTTCTGCTAGTTTTGTAAGTGTGGTAATAAGAATCCTCATTACCTAGAAGGAAAATATAAATCTCTGTTTTACAGCTGAGGGAAATGACATTCAACAGGTTTGGGAATTTTCCAGAAGTCACCTGACATGTTGGTGGCTGAGACTGGATTCCAATCCTGTGTGATTTGTGAGCCTTGCTCCCCTCCCCCTCCCCCAGTGACTGTTGTGATTGGTCCTCTCTGAGCAAAGCCAATGGGCAATTACAGGGCTATTCTCTGTGCTCCTATTCCGCCATCAGCAGGCGTATTTACTAAATAGTCTCCAACACCAAGAAAGCAATGTTCTGTTTCCGTTTTCTGTGCACCTGGCCGCATAGACGAAACTTCCCGGATGTAAATAGGTGTTTGTAGCCATTGCCTGCAGTAGACATATTTGAGCAGGTGCGTAGTTAGTTAGGTAGGTGACTGAGTGCAGGTAGCTAGATGGGACCATCAGAAGATGCCACTTAAAGGCTACTTCGAGGGCAGCTGGGTGGCTCAGTCAGTTGAGTGTCCAACTCTTGGTATTGCCTCAGGTCATGATCTGATGGTTCGTGAGATCGAGCCCTGAGTCTGGCTGTGTGCAGACAGTGCAGAGCCTGCTTGGGATTCTCTCTCTCCCTCTCTCTCTCTGCCCTTACCCTGCTTGCTCTTTCTCTGGAGAGGGGGGAGGCGCTGGGCACGGAGGTAATGGTGGAGAATGTCTGCATGGTGAAAGCCCCAGAAAATCCCAATAATAAGGGGTTCAGCGGGCTCTCAGGGAGGCGAATGCATGGAGGTATGGGGGACATACTGCAGCAGAAGGTGCCTTCTGGAACACCTCGCCCCACATGTCTCTTCCATGTGGCTGCCCATATGTGGCCTTTGTTGCATCCCTTCATCAGCTGGCCCACATGAGGACCTGTCTCCCTGAGCTCTGTGAACCACCCTAGCACGCCGGTCCAACCCAAGGCTCGGGTCATGGGAACCTCTGATCTACAGTCAGTCGCTCGTAAGGGCAGGGGACAGCCTGGACTTGCGGGCGTCTGGAGTCTTGTGTGACAGCCCTCAGCCCATGGGGTCTGACGCTCTGCCGGGAGATAGCACCCCAAGCAAGTGTGATTGTAGGCCACCCCACCGGCATCACGGACACGTGCTGGATGCGTGGAAAGAAGCCCCACGCTTGGTGACCAGAAGTGTCAGAGGTGATGTCTTCTGTCAGAGGGTAAAGGAGACCTGGCTCAGGAAGTGGACTGGACTGACTTCCTGAGGCAGGTCTCGGTGACGGTGCCTGACCATCCCCAAGGCCGTGACTGTTTTCTCACTTCCCCTGAACATGTCCGGACCTCGTGCTTGGTACCCACCCTTTCCGCTCTGCCCACATGGATTGCAACACTCGATTAGATTACCTTGGGTTGGGTCATTTCTTTACATTTTTAGCTCGAACCCTATGTGCTGTCTTTTTTGAGGACAAAAAGTAGCCAGTACCTCCCAAATACTGGGCACTCCTGGAATACTGCACAAAGGAAGGGGTGATTTCAGGAACACATTTTTATTCCCAGGGGCTCCTCTACAGCTCTGTGCTATTACAAATAATTTATCTTTCAAAATGGGAGTGCGTCTTTAAAAACGATTTCTTTGGGGATTTCAAACATATTCGCTGTGCTTTTTATTAACTGTATTTCAATTTGATATGTGTAGGCGGTGTGATCAATGTGGCATACCTGTCTTAGAAGGCCACCTTTCTCCTCAAACCCTTTCTGTTGGTTTTTCTGGAACACCGCAGGAGGGATTGCTAGGAAGAGCATGGGCATGGCTTCCTCTGTCCCTGGACGTGGATTAGGGCCGTGGTCCTCGGACCTGCCTCTCCTTTCCCCGTTTTGTCATCCGCACACTGGCTGGTTGTCCTGCCCTGGACAGGTTTATTGTGCCCGCGTTTGTATTGTCACAACACCCAGAGGGTCCTGGCAAGGTGACCCGGCATTCACAGCCCGCTCACTCCCTGCTTTCCAGCCCCATCTTCTGAGCGATACTCCCTGAGGGCCAGGTAGTGAGATGCAGAGGAAGGGAGGGAAGACCTTCGCTGAAGCCTGTGGGCAAAGGGCGCCCACCTGGAGATGCAGAGGGGCCCCCAGAGCTGCAACTACCTCTCTCCATCGGGGACCCCCCCCCAAGGCAGGGGGAGTGGCGCAGGGGCTGGGCGGATGTTGCCTCCGGACCCTGACCTGGACAAACCTAGACCGCCCTCTGGAAGGCCGTGGGAACTGAAGGGTAAGGCAGGAGAAGGGAGGCAGCGGAGGGGGCCGGCCCCTCTGCGCCCCTCTCACGCACGCGCTCCCGCCTGGAGACAGGGGTGCCGCCGCTCTCCTGCTGGGGTCCGTGCATGCTGCATGTTAACCAGCAAAAACAGCTCAAGGCTCCCTTCAAAAGCAGGATCAGGGCGGGATCCACGACGGAGCTCAGTACGTGCCCTGTTATGTCCGGAGCCGGTGTTCTGTGCGCCTGCATTTCCAGAGTATCCGCACTCACTGAGGAGCGTGGGAATGGGGCGGGGGGCTGTGTTACAAGACACCGGGGGCATCTAAGACTCTGGAGGGATCCGCAGTCCTGGGCAGTTTTGGGGGGGCCCTGGCCTCTGGCTGACTGCATGTTCCTGTGTCTGCAGGTGGCGCCCCGGCCGGGACCCCGCGCACTCAGGGCAGCCCTCGGCCTCTGGCTCAAGCAGGGGCCCTCCTCGTGAAGCGCCTCCGCCGCTCGCGCCGGGCCTGGAAGGGCACCCTCTCTGACCTGCTGCTGCCTGTCCTTTTCGTGGCCTTGGCCATGGGCTTGTTCATGGTGAGGCCTCTGGCCATTGACTACCCGCCCCTCAAACTAACACCCGGCAATTATGACACGGCGGAATCTTACTTTTTCAGGTAAGGACTCCCCCACCCTCCCACCTTTACTTCCAAAATATGTCAGGACGGATTATGAATATCAGTCGCTTTGAAGAATCTCAAATACACATGTGGTTTCATGATTTTGGAGGGTTGCGTTCAAGAGGTCAAGGTCATGGACTGTTGCAGATCCTATAAATACCCTGTTTTTTCTATACGTACATACTTACATACCCACAATAAAGTTTACTTCATTTATCAGGCATAGGAGAAGACTAATTAACAGCAATAATAGGAAAATGATAACAATATACTGTAATAGTTCTATGAATGTGGTCTGTCTTTTTAAATTTCTTTTTTAAAGTTTATTTTTATTAAATTTTCTTCAACATTTATTTATTTTTGAGAGACAGAGACAGAGTGCGAGCAGGGCAGGGGCAGACAGAAAGGGAGACACAGAATTTGAAGCAGCTCCAGGCTCTGAGCTGTCAGCACAGAGCCCAACGAGGGGCTCGAACTCATGAACCGTGAGATCATGACCTGAGCCACAGTCGGCTTAACTGTCTGAGCCACCCAGGCGCCCCTATGTATATATTTTTAGAGAGAGAGAGAAAGGATGCACAAGTTGGGGAGGGGCAGAGAGAGGAAGAGAGAGACTCATAAGCAGGTTCAGTGCTGTCAGCACAGAGCCCAACGCAGGGCTTGAACTCATGAACCTTGAGATCATGATCTGAGCTGCAATCAAGACTGGTCTCTTAACCGACTGAGCCACCCAGGCGCCCTGTCTCCTTACATACTGTACTGTTCTTGTGAGGATGTGGATGATCAAATGCTCGAGACAGGAGATGCTGTAGCATGAGTGACCTAGGCGTTGTGAGGTGAAGATGTGTCAGAGGCTCAGCTGCTTCCAGAACTGCAGGTCCGGGCATTGCTTTAGCTCACAGAATCCTCCAAGCCCGCTTTGTGACAGCAGCCAGGGACTGCACAGTGCTCCCTGCAGAGAAGCGTCTGACTTCTCTGTCTGGAAGGCAGCGAGCCCACGCGCACCCCAGGCTACATGGGGTCCAGGCTTGCTGCCAAGGAATTCAGAGCGCCAGTCCTGCAGCCTGGTGAATTTACATAGGATGTGGTTAGAGCCGTTAGGGGCTTTGTTTTATTGACAGGAGGCTGGAGATGTGAGAGAGGGACCTGAGCATCGCAGGGCCTGTCCCTCAGCTGGCTGGCTCCCCCAAAACTGAGCGTGGCTTCTCTCCCCTGAGCTGGAGTTGCAGTGGCCAGGGTAACAGGCAGCATTACCGAGTGCTGACCAGGCATGGGGGGGGGAGGTGTACTCACACACCTGGAGGGGCGGTGGAAGGGGAGGTGTTCACACACCTGGGCGGGGAGGTGCTCGCACACCTGGGGGGCGGTGCCCACACACCTGGAAGGGGCGGTGTTCACACACCTGGGCCGGGAGGTGCTCGCACACCTGTGAGGCGGGGACTGGGCACCGGCATATTAACTAGGCTGCTCATGGTGCAGACAACCAGAGGGTACGATTAGTTCTGCCCTTGTCAAATACTTATCTTCACTAAAATAATGAGCTTAATTAGCTAGACTCTTAGGGCCTGCTAATATTTGTCACTTTTACAACGCTGTGTAATTTGGAGTTCAGTTTAAACAAACGCAGATGCAGAAGGCAGAATCGATAATAAACTGTTCAGTTTGCTTCTGTGTCCTTTCATTAATTATTTATTTTTTTCCTTGGTGTGTCTTTATGCTCCACAGAGTCTGGGTTTTTAACTCAAAAAGAGAATCCTTCTGTTCGGAGAAATGCAGGCAGGTCCCCAAGTATTGCTTCTGCAAGTGGGCTCTCTCTTCTGTCTAGTTTAGGTACCTGACCTCATCTTCTTTTCCCAAGTGTTTAAAATGAATGGACGAAAGGATAGAATGCCCCATAAAACGTGTTTCTTGAAAAAACAAAAAATGGGGCATGTGGGTTTCTCAGTCGGTTAAGTGTCTGACTCTTGATTTTGGCTCAGGTCATGATCTCGTGGTTCGTGGGATCAAAAAAAAGTAATTGAAAATGCAGGCTAGCCAAAATAATCATAGAAAAAATTCACAGGTAATCCACCAGCTCCATCCATCATAAACCTAGTGGTGTGTGGTCTTCCTCATGTTTATAGGTAACACTTTTAACACATGCACTTTTATTATTTTATGACAGTAGTATTCCACTATAAATACTCTTCATTATTTGGTTCTTTACTCAATAAGTAACGTATTTGTGTAGCTATTGTTGTAAATCAGGTGCAAACCACATCACCCATTTTCAGGCTGTGCCGCGGTATGTTGCATTGAGGTGCCGTAATTTATTTAAACAGTCTCTTTTTGGGGTATATACCGATAAAGGAAAACCAGGCAATTCCGTAGGGTAGGAATCCCTTTGTTTGGATTCATGCAGCTAATTGTTTCTATTATCATATATTTCCATCGGAAGATTTTGGGGGCAACAAGCACCCACATTTTCAAGGTCGATATTGCCAAATTATTCATATCGATGTGCACCAATTTACAGCACATACAAGCATAAAGTCCTTGATTCTTTTAGTCACGAGTATTTATTGTGCACCTACTGTATGCCATGTGCAGTTCTTGGTTGAGAGACAACTCCTTTCCCCACATTTTCACCATCCCTTTTATAGCCATATCAGGACTTTCTTTGCTTTATTATGCAGCTCTTTAGTCGCTATTGAGATGGAATGTTGCCAGTTATTTCTTGGTTATTTCAAATTTCACTCCATACATTGAATATATTGAATATATTATATTATTCACACGTATATTATATGAGTGTGTCCCATACTGTCATGGCTTCAGACTGCCTGCCCCTTCACCCTTTCTTCCGTCCTGGCTTCACCTCTTCGACCCTTCCTTCTGAGGCAGCTGAGAACCTCCCACGCTGGGTGTTCGAAGGGGTTCCATTTCGAGGAGGTCGAAACCCCTTCTCTGCTGCTTTATTAATGTGGCCACTGTGTGTGTTTTCATCTGAAAACATTTGCCCCCGGTCTCCCAGCAGACCTTTTGGATGGAAGTCATGCATTCCAAAATTATTTGGAGCCTGAGAGTTAGAGATATTGGATTGGATTTAACTTTTATTTTGTTTATTTATTTATTTTTGAGAGAGAGAGAGAGAGACAGAGAGAGAGAGTGAGAGCACGAGCAAGGGAGGAGCAGAGAAAGAGAGAGAGGGAGAGAGAGAGAGAATGCCAAGAAAGATCCATGCTGTCAGTGAAGAGCCTGATGTGGGGCTCGATCTCACGAACCCTGAAATCATGACCTGAGCCGAAATCAAGAGTTGGACCTTCACCCGACTGTGCCCCCCAGGTGCCCCCAAGAACCGTAATTTTTTAGAGATGTGACAAGATGAAGGAAAAGGGCTTTGAGCTTTAGGAAAGGCCAGTTGTGCGCAGGCAAATACATAAAGAAATGAATGGCGGAGAGGACTAGTTAGTAATGTCTGTTGTACGGATTCCTCTCGTGCACGTCTGGGCTGATGAAGGCCTGGAATGGGTGCTGGTGATTAACTTCTGTTTCTCCTGGTAGAGAGGAGAGAAGGGACATGTATGAATTTGTGTCCTGCTTTTAGGCAAAGGAGGGAGAGGGCAGAGAGCTTTCCTGGTATCTGCTTCACAGTTACCTTCAGCTCAAGGTAATCCTTAAGCCACAGGGGCATCTTTTCTGCCCTTCGACACCACGTGAACAGAGAGACCCGCAAGGGGAACGTCATGCCACGACAGAGGCCGAGATTAGAGCGACACACTAGCAGGTGGAACACCGAGGATCAAGGATCGTGGCCTCTCCCAGCAGCCGAGCCCCCTCCACTCCCATTCATATGCTGAAGCTTTAGCCCCAGTGTGGTTGGGTTAGGACAAGAGGCATCTAAAGAAGTAATTAAGGTTAAATGAGATGAGTGAGAGATAGTTCAGTATTTTCTTCCATGTCCAGGAGTCAATCTTTTCATAGAGGACATATTTGCTCGCATTTCTCAGAATGTTGCGGGTGTGTGAGCCAGAAGAGATCCCAAAGTTTGGTTCCAGACTCCACTGAAGGAGCAGGTGTACATTTGCTTAGTGTGCATTTCGGTAGAGTAGTCGTCTGATTAGTTACGGGGCAGAAAGGAAGATGCTGCCAGAAATGATCCACACAGATGGAAACGTTTCCTGCTTCTGGGTCTCGTTCATATTTCTCGTGACCGGCCCAGATCAGAGGGCGGGGGTGGGGGTGGGGGTAGGAGGTGACTGGCCCCCGTTTGGGCAGTGCAGCTGCTCTCGTTAGGAACCCACCCTGAGATCACGCCTGCATACCGGGCTCCCTGGCTTGCTGGGAAGAGCAGTCCTGTGCTCTCAGCACCTGTACTGCACGAGTCCCGCTCACTCCCATGGTGTCCTCCGGGGGGCGCTACATTACGTGACGGCTCTGTGCTGACTCAGCGTCCAGGCTCTGAATCCTAGCACAGGAATGATTTCCCAGGTGGAACAGCTTCTCATTGCTCCCACTCCTCCTGATTTGCTGCAAGTGTGTGCACACAGACACACGTGCACACATGCTCACATAAACACGTGTACACACATACACACATGCACATGCTCATGTGCACATATACACACGTGCACGCATGCTCACATAAACACATGCACGCATACACATGTACACACATACACATACACACATTCACGTGCACATATACACACGTGCACACACACCCATGCACACACACGAGCAGACACATACAGATGTGCACACATGTGCACACATGCTCACATGCACACATGTGCACGAATGGTCACCGCCCATGGCTCACCCCCCTGTCTTTGTTGCTTCAAATGTGGGCATATTACCATTTTTTAACATTTGTGTGTGATTTCCACATGGTGCTGGATAGTATTTTCATTGTTTCCTTACTTTTCCTTTAACCTAACTCCTGGTTAACAGGTTTTTAAAGTCAGAACTGCATGTAGTTTTCTTTTTTTTTTTAATTTTTTAAATGTTTATTTAAT